TTGCTTCTATTTCCCGTGCCTTTGAGATCAAATTCATAAGATTCTCTCTGAACCCAAGGTCCAATAGTTTGGTACCCATATTTTCTTCTGTGAAATTTGTTTCAGGTCTTATATTTAGGTCTTTGATCCATTTTGAGTTAATTTTGGTATATGGTGACAGATAGCAGCCCTAGTTTCATTCTTTTGCACGTGGCTTCCCAATTTGCCCAGCACCATTTATTGAAGAGCTGTTCTTTTCTCCATTGTATGTTTTTGGCTCCTGTGTCAAAAATTATCTGCCCATATACATGTGGGTTTATTTCTGGGTTATTTATTCTATTTCATTGGTCTGTGGGTCTGTTTTTCTGCCAATATCATGCTGTTTTGATTATTGTCACTTTGTCCTATAAATTGAGGTCAAGGGAGTGTGATACCTCTGGCCTTGTTCTTTTTCTCAGGTTTGCTTTGGCTATTTGGGGTCTTTTGTGATTCAATACAAATCTGATGATTTTTTTGTTCTATTTCTTTAAAATCTGCCATTGGGATTTTGATGGGGTTGCATTAAATCTATGTGTTGCTTTGGATAATACGGCCATTTTAATTATGATGATTCTTCAAGTCCATGAACACGGTCTTTCCATTTCTTTGTGTCTTCAGTTTCTTTTAATAATGTCTTACAGTTTTTATTGTATTGGTCCTTCATATCCTTTGTTATGTTATTTCTAGGTATTTTATTATTTTAGTTGCAATTGCAAAAGGAATTGTTTTTTTTTTCTGAAATTTCATTGTTGGTATATAGGAATGCAATGAATTTTTGTACATTGATTTTGTATTCTGCAACTTTACTGTATTTGTTTATTGTTTACATTTTTCTTTATATGACTGTCAATCATTATTTCACTAAAATCTTCATATTGTTCATGTATACTGTCAGAAGAATAGTTTATTTTGACTTATTGTCTCCTTTTGTTCTAAACCTTTTTACTCTCTGGTTATTTATATACAAGCAATGATGCTAGTGTTTACTAGGAATTGTTTCTTTATGCATCTCAGTCTTATCCTAGTGTCCAAAAGTTTGTGAGGCATTTCTAAGGGATAAAGGATTTCCCATTTTTATCTATTCACCATGTGAGCTGTTCTAGTGACAAATGAATTCTGGGCAGTGAATCGAGAAGGACACAGATGTCAAAGCCATGAATTTATAAATGGTCTCTTAAGAGGGTGCTTTTGTCCAATCAGTGCTTTGTTAATTTCACCTACAAGAAGGAATAATTATTCAATTATGCTTCTGTGTGACAAAAAATCAAATGACAAATGTGTCAGAATGTGAAGGTAAAGGGTTAGTCAGGATTTTGGCAAGGGGCCCCAAAATTTAGCCAGCTGTGAGGAGATAGATATCGAATCACACTGACATATCACACTGCTTACAAGTCCTTTCTGAATAGTCATAGATCTTACTAACTGAAAGATAAATAATTTCATTTCTAAGTCTAACAAATACAAAAACTATGATTTTCTATATCTTCATGAAATATAATTAGCTTGAAAAATATACCACAACACTAGAACAAGTAAACTCATATTCCTCTTTAGTTTGTTTCTTCTTATTACTAACATTTTTAAAACAGTTTTTATTAGTTTTGAAAAGTTGTAGTTTTTCCTTATGAAAAACTTATTTTTAATTGTTAGTAGTATTACTAGTTCATCATATTGCTTTATCAATACAGAGCCAGAGGTTAGCAGACTTTTTCTATCGAAGGGCAGATAGTAAATATTTTCAGCTTCGTAAGCCATAGTCTTTGTCCCAACTACTCAACTTTGCCACAGTAACATAGCACAGCCATACAGTATAGGTAAATAAATTGAGTGTGGCAGTGTTCTAATTAAACTTTATTTACAAAAACAGGCAGTGGGCTGAATTTGACCCATGGGCCATTTTGCCAACCCCTGATTTAGCAACTGATGATACTTTTTAAATTTCACTAAGATTTTTTAATATTCTAAAAAAGAACTCTATGAACTATATTAAGTAACTTGAGTGTCTGTGCACTGCACACTCCAGAGGATATTTGATACCCATAGACTACAATGTGAGTAGTACAGTATGGTGGCTCTGAGAATACCTCTCTCATCTATTTCTGCCTTCTCAATATCATAGGTACCTATATCTGGCCGCTGCCCGTTTTATAGATAAAGTTTTATAGACACATAGCCACGTTCACTTATTTATGTATTGTCTGGCCACTTTCACACTATAGCAGCACAGAGATGAGTAGTTTGGACAAACACCACATGTCCCTCAAAACCTAAAATAATTACAGAAAATGTTTGCTAACCCCTGACCTATACTTATTATGTTCCTCTTTAAGGATGAAATTACTGGGCATACTGTGGGAAAGCTTATATGATTGTCATATTAAGTCCAACAAAGGATACATAAAGAAGTTGCCAAATATCTAAAGTTGCTTCAGAATTCTGTTTTTTCTTCAATGTTTCTCATCTGAAAGATCTGGTTCAAGAAACTGAACATACTTCTCTGTAGCTGATATTCTCCATGGGTCAGCATTTTCGGCAACAAATCAGTTGCTTTGAAGAATTTGTGTCAGTAAGGAATTTAAGCCCAGTCAAGAGGTTTATTATGTCTGTGGAGAGAGAGGAGAGAAGTATATGAATTTACATGACAATGGATTCTAGCCCAGTGCAGCTCTCACACCTGCCTCACCTGCCCCCTTAGGATGGATTTGAGGAGGTTCTTATTGGTGGCATAGCACCAAGTATTTTTTCTGGGTATCTCACTTGTCAGGTTTGGAAGAAGCAATTGCTTTGATGCCAGCAGATCTTATCATGGGCTTTATTTAAAAGATAATTTAGTGCTGCTATCATTGAATAATAAAATTCCTAGGGCTGTGCATAGAAACAAAGTTCAGGGGAAGGAGAGAATTATTTCTCTACTGTTTGAGTCTGGAGACTAGTTCATAATCATGAAATAATTTTCTTTTGTGCCCTTTTTTTTTAGATTTTTATTGGGGAATTGGGGCGATGGGAACAGCGCTGGGGAATTGGGGGGAGGGGAACAGACAAGTTGCTGTCCTTTTGTTCTTCAGTCTAGTTGTGGAGGACGTTGCTTCACTGGCCCATGTTGGTATCATCATTGTGCTCTTCCCTGGCAAGGCAGATCAGTCGCCGGCTTCTGGACGGCAGCTTACACCGGCTGCCAGCCGCTCATGCTGGCTGCTGGCTACACATGGTAGCCCATGGCAACCCACTGCAGCAGGGGCTGCAGCCTACGCTGTGTCTGGCGACTCACGGCAGCCCAGCTCCAGGTTGAGCTGTTGTTCAGCATCTTAGCTGTAGAGGGCAGTGTCACTGGCCCTCATATGTGGGATCCGAACCGGGAACCCCTGGCGTCCCAAGCCAGCTCTTAACCAACGCGCCACTTGGCCAGCCCTGTGCCTTTCTTTGGTACTTATTTACTTGCTTTCAGTTTGTTGATATAGGAAAATGTGTTTTATATTTTAATTCATGATAAATGTTGATATTTGAAGGACAGTTATTAGTAAAAAATTAATATTTTAAAATTTTTGTTACAAAGACTTAAATGTGTTATTAAAACGCAGTGTCTTCCTGAAACATTCTTTTCCCTTTCCTCTCTTAACATTTACTCTGGTGCTATTCTTCCTTCTGCGACCCCAGCTTCTCAGCCCATTCTCAACCTCCTTTTCTTTTATACATCCCATAAATTCTGGTACTCATCATGTACTCTCCTTAGGAGACCTCATGTAAGTTCCATAACTTACATTTCCATTTATATGCTCATGGTCCTAAATTTGTATCTTGGAGCAAGATCATCTCTCAAATTTTAGGCCTGTATATTCAGCTGCTTATTGGATATTTTTACCTGTTTCTCTCATGAGCATTAAACTCTCATATGCCTCTTGAATCTGCTCTTATGTATTCCCTATTATAATGTTAGTCCCATAATTTGCCCAGTTGCTAAAGGTAAAAACTGTCATCCTTGACTCTTCCCTCTTCCTCACTTCTACAGTCAGCCAATCTTATAGTCCTTTGAGTTTCTACGCTTTAAGCAGCCCTTGAACATACCTCTTCCTCTCCATTTTCACAGCCTTCGCTCTACTTCAGATCACCTGGATTATTACAACTGCCACTTATTTTGCCTTTGTCTTAGTCTTGCACCTTTCCATTCATTCTCCACTCCAAATGGCTTGTCTAAACACAAAATCTGATCAAGTTGCTACCCTATGTAAAATTTTTTTACTGGCTTATTCTTCGAATAAATTCCAATTTACTAATGTGGTTTACTCAACTATGTTTTCTTTGGTTCCTACTTAGCCTTTGTACCCTTATATCTCCTTGTTTCTCTCAAATTGGAGTGTATATTAATTGTGACCCTTTATGCATGCTGCTTGCTCTGCCTAGAGCACTCTTTCCTTCCCCTTTCCTAATTTACTTGACCTTCAGTCCTTATCTTACATAATATCCCTGTTGTTTTACTATAGCCAAATCTGGATTAGCTGTTTTTTCTGTAAACTCCCTAGCCCTTCAGACTTCCCCCTCACAAATAATTGCCCATTTATTTGTCAAAATGGTCTAAGTTTCTTGACAGTAGGGACATGTATCCATAGTTTATAAATTAGAATAACTTATCTGCCACATACTTGATGCTGAGAGGGTAATTGTAAGTTTAATATTAGTAAATATATTCATTTCAGGATTATTTAATTGTGTCATTCTGTTATAATTATTTTAATAGGAACTCATCAATGAAATTTTCATTTTTACTCATACCATCACAATAATGGAAATCTTTTTTTTTTTAAAGAGGCTACAAAATGAAACTTCGTTTTTTTCCTGGTCTATACCCTCATTAATCCACCACTGCTAGTAATCAATTGCTAGTAATCCATACTTATGGATTTGGTATTTATATTTAGCCTTTAAAAAGTTGTATTTTGTCTTAAAGAGAGATCATGCTAAATTGTTGGATATTTTATTTCTTACAGTCTACCCTGATATTTGCACGATCAGCCTTGTGGCAGCAAGTGATATGAATAAACATGCTGATAGAATTACTTTTTGGGATGATGTCTATGGCTTTAACATGTCCTGCATGAAGAAAGCAGTTATTCCAGAAGCTGTTGTAGAAGTTTTAGATCCAAAGACGCTTATTTCAGATCCTTGTAGCATTAAGGTAGGTGTTTTACCAATTTTATTTTCTAGAACAGCATTTCCATTTTGTTTAGTTTTCATTTGTGAGTTCAATATTTATTTATTTATTATTTTATTATTGGTTTCAGGCATACAGAACAATGCAATAGTTATCCTTTTCACTCCTTAAAAGAAACAGCCCCCTCCCCCCATCCACTGCCCTCCCACCCCCGATGTCCTACTTACCTATTACAATTCCATTGACTCCATTCCCACACTCTACTCCACATCCCGTGACTATATGTATATATTAATTGTAGTTGACATACAATATTATTCAACATCAGCTTCAGAAATACAGTGCGGTGGTCAGGCCTCTACACTGTCTATGCAGTGGTCTGTGAGTTCAGTATTTAAAATTAATGTTGATTTTATATGTGGGCCTTCAAAAAAGTTATTATTCTTCCTATTTTAATCAGTCTAAAGCAACTTGAAGTCATAATTTTTACCAGTTGACTATATATCATCCCTTTGGGATCACTTCTCTGTATATATTGAAATTCCTGACACTGAGGGCTTGAATCATTTACTTTGGGTTAGTGCTGTATTGCCATTTCTGCTTCATCACCACCTCCTCGCTTTATTCTAGCTTTTCATTTATAGACAGGTTATTCAGTCATATCATACATTCCACACAATTTAGCTTTTCTCATTCAAATTTCTTCCAGGCTTTTCAGATTAAGTTGTTACACTGAAATTTTTCATGAAACCAAAGCCCTACTATGTTCAGATTTTTCAGTTAATTTGTTTTGTGTTTTAATAATCTTATTCTTCACTATAATATTTAGTTTTGTGAATTTTGCTATGTCAAATTTGCATGAGTTGAATCATAACTTTGCAGTGAAAAGCCATATTGCTTTTCTTAAAAACTCAATTTGTTTCAGTTACAGAAAGAAAGAAAGAAGGAAAGAAAGAAAGAAAGAAAGAAAGAAAGAAAGAAAAAGAAAAAAAGCAAGCAAGCAAGCAAGCTTGTTTAGTGTTAGGTTCAGAACATTGTCTCCTCTTTTTACTCACACTTTTACTTTCAAAGTATCAATACTTGTTCTCTGCACAAACTAAATATTCAGTAAATATTTATTGTATTAAATGGATAGAGTATTTAAAATTAGCATAGAATAATGAAAATGTAAAGTTTCTCAACAAGAGCAAGTTGATTAAAATTGCATTCAGCTTTTTAAGAAAAAATAATGCAGCCTGGTTAATGATTATAGAACTGTTCATGTTCTGGTACTGATAGTAAGGGATTTACTTGGATTCTTTGGTTTAGGGTAGAAGTGCATGTATAGTCATCGCCAACTCAGCCTTAAATCTGAGCAGAAAGAGGAGGGTTGTGGGGGGAGGGAAGGGCTAACATCTCTACTGATCTCTTAAATACCAAAAACTGCTATGAGTAAATAGTTGAAACAGAAAATTTAGGACTGAAAAATGAAGGTGTTCAAAAAGTATCCATACCCTTTCTCCCTTTTTTTAAACATTAATCAATTATGTATTCATTTGTTTGTTTAGGTAAATGCAGTTTGTTCTGTGTTCCCCAACTTCCCTACAAATAAAAGGCAACCACATTGTAACTTCTTTTAAATTTACTCAAACTATTTAAAATAGAGTAATGCCTCTGGTATAGAGTCATATGAATTGTGTTCACTGTGTTATAATCTGCTCATGGTATGTCAGCTGTCGACAGCCTTTACCAGCACACTCTGGTCACACTGCTGTAGCTAGCTCCATCTACTCTCCATAGGGAAATAGAGAGGGATTTGAACCAGGGCAAATTGGAAAAATAAGGATATTTGGCCTTTATTTTTAGCTGCATCTTCATAGTTTTTTTTTTTTTAACTCATTGGTCGGAATTGTTGTGGATTTTGCTAATATCTAATAAACTTCAAAGGCAGTTACAAAATGAATTCTAAAATACCTTGTCCTTTTCATTAGCATGTTTGCAAGTTGACATTTCCTATAAATATATTGACTGTTATCACACATAATTTATAGCAAATATATACCACTAGTGGTATACAAAATGATTTTAGTTGGAACACAGGAAAACGTTTTTTATTTGAAAGTAGTGTGCCTTAGAAAAACTTTAGCACATCAGAGCCATGATTTGACATATACTATTCTTACAAGAAGTCTACGTAAAAAATACTAATTTGATTTAAATAAAAATTAAATGATAGTGCCAGTAGTCCTTAAATTTGGAAACAATCTCCAAAATGAGGTGTGAATGGTTAAAGTTTGCAAGACATTGGTTTACAGTAATCCTTTTTGCATAAAAAAGTATTTGTTTGTTTTTGGTTTTGTTTTTACTCTTTTTACTAAATTCTTTCCTCTACTTTCTTTAAATGGGTAGCATATAGATTGCCATACAACATCTGTCTCAGATTTGGAGTTTTCTTCAGATTTTACCCTGAAAATCACAAAGACATCATTGTGCACGGTAAGCTATTGCATTTTACTTCCACAAATTTCACTAGCAGTGCAATTGATTGGCAGGCTAATGAATTAATTACCATCCTTTTGATAAATGAAAAAGACTATTGCTGTTGACATTCTGTCTTTGCCTTTGTTAGACTATTGAACAGATCTGTTTTAATAGATCAGGAGACTTCGAAAAAGTTAGTTTAGTTTGGAAGAGAAAGTATTAGGAAACCATATTTACATTATGACTTTTCTTTGTAGATTCTTCATAATACCTATCATAATTAATTGAAAGCACTCAGCTTTATCTTCATAGACTGACATTCATGTTCTGCTCCTCCCAATAACTCTTAACACTCATTTGAGATGGAAGTAAGATATTATTAGGTATAATATTTTATATTTATGTGTGAAAAATAATAAAGAATGATGATTTATTCTTCTAAAAAAACAAACTGGTATAATACAAAAAGGATGGGCTTAAGAAACGTTAGACAGATCTGGATTCACTGGTGAGTTCTACCACTCACTAGGTTGTTACTTTGTTCAAGTTACCATTGTAATCTGTACCACAAACTAACCAACTAACTGCTTTAAGAAAAATGGTAATATTAATAATTCTTTCTATCTTGAAGAGTGGTTACAAAGATTAATGACATAACATGTAAAAGCACCTACAGTGTGGCTAGAAATGTTAGGTTATTAAAATATATTAGTTTTTTTCTTTCTGAAATAATTTCTAAATGTATATTAATGCTATGATAATATTTGCTTTGACCAGGAGACTCAGAATGTTAAAATGTGGGCCGTTGCTTAAGAATGTATGAATTCTGTAGGTGATATTGATATAGATATTTATATTATTTTAAAAAGTATATAGTTTTTAAAATACTAGTTATATCTTCAAAAGTTAAAATTTTTATTGAAAACTATTGTCAGAAACTGTATGAAACAGACTATAGTCTTTGACTCTTCAACCTGATTGTTTTAAATATTTTGTTCACATTGACACATACAAAAGATTTTATGGCTTTCTTTCAGTTCATTTTGATCCAATAATTATTTTATATCCAAATGAGTTTAACAATATGTTTTGAAGAATTCTGTTTGTTAAAGTTGGTTTTACAGTTTTTAAAAGTTAAATATCTAGATTCCAGATTTATAATTTTTGGGGGACCCATTATATTTATTTAATTGATGAAAAGTAAAATTTCATTCTTCCCATTCATTTTCCCCAGATTGCTAATTCTTCTTTTCAGTAACAGAAATGATTTGGTCAGGTGGCTTATGCTGTGTTTTGATATTAGTAATCCTTGAGAGTTAAAAAAAAAAAGACCTCCTGATTAATGACAAATGACTAATCTATAACAAGATTCCTATATGAAATTAATTTTCATATCACCAGTATTATTAAATAATATTTTAAATCTACGTTCAGAGACCTTTGCAAATGTAAAACTAGTGAAGACTTCAAAAAATGTTTTTAGTCGTGCAAAGTTTTTGAAATTTATGTAGACAGATAAATTTATTGAGATTCATTGAAATGTTTGTTTTCTGAGTATTGGTCAGGGTTCTTCGTTTCAGGTAGCATAGTCCAAATCAGCTTCTTTAAGCAGAAAGGGTTTGCTAAAGAGAATAAGATAATTTCCCAACGCAGTAAGAGAGCTAAAGGAAGGGTCTATATTTTGAATTTCGAGAAACAACTAGAAGTACACCTTAAAACTTGCCTGCTCCAGAGCCTCCTCTGCTGTAAGGAGAAAGCTGCCTCTCCTGCTGCAGCCCTGTAGACCCTAATGCCTCTGGCCCATTCAGTACGGGGTAGCCACCACTGACAACCCCAGATGACCAAACCCCTTCACTGTCATCCTGTACCTATGCCCTCCTGCCCCTCCTTCTGCCAACTCATGCTGTCCCATTCCTCTTACAAATTCTTCATCCAGCACATCTGCTTGACTGAATCTAGGTTCTGTTGTACCCTAGTTATCAATCAGTTTGGAAAGTAGTTTCAGCTACAGTATGTTATTGAAAGAGTTTCATAACACATATTTAGAATTATTTTCTATTATTTGGGATAGAGTACAAGAAGCTTTATGCTAAAAAATTGTATTTATCTTTCAGTGATCTTAGTTTTATTCTGTATATTTAAGAGTAAAATTGAAAAAAACTAAAGACAAAATGGTGAAGTTTGTTTAATCTAAACATTGTAATCAAACTTTTTGTACTGAAGAATAATGTATCAAATAGGTACTTGCTGCATTTGTCCCTGTACCATCAGAGTTCCATTAAAAAAAAAAGAATTAGTAATAGACTGTTATATCTGTAAAGAACCTTTTAGAATTATATTTTTATTCCTAAATTTTTGGAGTGATTTTAATATAAAACTCTGGAAATGAGATAGACCTGGAGTTTGGGAGGAGGGCAGCAGGAGGTTGGAGTGGACTTGACTATGTCTGATTACTGCTGAATAACATGGTTCTATAACTCACCTTCAGAGGAATGTATAGTTTTGAACCATATTTATTGGTTACATGCCAAGTACTGAAGATATAAATTTCACTACTTATTATTCAATGTTAACTCGTCTGAGATTATGCTGTCAAATAATTAGTCAATATAAATTGTCTTCCCATGGTGATAATATCTAACAGTCATTGAACATTTGCATGCCAGGCAATGTGCTAATCACTCCTTTTTTTCCTTCTTTGTTTGTGGGTGGAATTATTTTTTTCTTTAACAGACAATATTATATTAGTTTCAGGTGTACAACATAGTGATTAGATATTTATATAGCTTAGAAAGTGGTCACTCTGATAAATCTAGTACTCCTCTGACCCCATACATAGTTGTTATAATATTATTGACTATATTCTTTATGCTATACTTTATATCACAATGACTGTTTTGTAACTATCAATTTATACTTCTTAATCCCTTCTTCTTTTTCACCTACCCACTAACCCTCCTCCCATCTGGCAACCATCAAAATGTTCTCTATGTCTATGAATTTGTTTTTCTTTTGTTTGTGTAATTTGTTCTCTAAATTTCACATATAAGTGAAATCATATGGCATTTGTCTTTCTCTGCCTGACTTACTCCATTCAGCACAATATCCTCTAGGTCTATCCATGTTGCAGATGGCAAGATTTCATTCTTTTTTATGTCTGCATAATATTTCATTACATATGTACCACCTCTTCTTTATCCATTCATTCATTGAAGGACACTCAGGTTGCCTCGACATCTTGGCTATTGTAAATAATGTTTCAATGAACATATGGATGCACATATTCCTTCAAAGTAGTGTTTTGGGTTTTTTAGGATAAATACCAGAAGTGGGATTACTGGGTTCTTCTTTGTCTCTTGTTATAGCCTTTGTTTTAAAGCCTCTTTGGCCTGGCGTAAGTATTGCTAACCCAGCTTTTTTTTTTCCTTCTTTTCATGTCTGTTTTCAGGAAATACCAGTCTGTGTGTCTTTCGATCTGAAGTGAGTCTCTTATAGGAAGCATACGAGGTGTGATAAAAAAATACGTTAATGTTTAAATTTTAAAAATATTATTACAGTAAAAGATACATTGTCATTAATACTCCTCAAAACCCTCCACCTCGCTTTGAACACACTTATCCCATCGTTCTTGCCACTTTCTGAAGCAGTTCTGGAAGTCCTCTTTCATGAGTGTCTTTAGTTGCACTGTCATGGCTCCCTCAATGTCCTGAATCGATTCAAAACGTTTACCTTTCACGGTCATTTTGACTTGGGGGAAGAGCCAGAAGTCTCGTGGTGCGAGATCCGTTGAATAAGGTGGGTGAGGACACACCGTAATGTTTTTGGCAGAAGTTGCCATACCAAAAACAGTGTGTGACACGGAGTGTTGTCATGATGGAGGATGAAATAAAGACACTTAAAAAGAGGACTTCCAGAACTGCTTCAGAAAGTGGCAAGAACAACGGGATAAGTGTGTTCAAAGCAATGGGGAGTATTTTGAGGGGGATTAATGGTAATGTGTCTTTTACTGGAATAATTTTTTTTTAAGGTTTTATTGGAGAATTGGGGAAGGGGAACAGCCAAGTTGTCCTTCAGTCTTAGTTGTTGGAGGGCGCAGCTAACTCAGCTTCAAGTCCAGGTGCCATCCGGCCACCTGTTGGCAGCTCGCCACCACCCAGTTCAAGGTGCCGTGTTCGATCTTAGTTGTGGGTGGGCATAGTCCACACCATCTCATGCAGGAGTCGAACCAGCAACCTTGTTGTTAGGAGCACGTGCTCTCATCCTGCCACCTGTTGGCAGCTTAGTGGCAGCTCAGCTTGAGCGCAGCTCACTGGCCCATGTGGGAATTGAACCAGTGACCCTGTTGCTCAGAGCTGGCGCTCTTAACCAACTGAGCCACTCGGCCAGCCCCAGTAAATTTTTTTTGTTTAAACATTCACCATATCTTTTGATCACACTTCATATGTAAGGATCTTGTTTTCTTATCGATTCAGCCACCCTCTCTTTAGATTGGAGCATTTAATCCATTTACATGTAAAGTAATTGTTGATATATACATAGTGATTGCCACTTTATTATTCATAATATTTATTCATTCATTCATTCATTCATTCATTCATCTTAAAGAAGTCCCTCTAAGATTCCTTGTAATACTGGTTTGGCGGTGATGAGCTCCTTTAGCTTTTTCTCATCCAAGAAGCTCTTTATCTCTCCTTTGATTTTAAATTATAGCTTTGCTGGGTAATCTTGGTGTAGGCCCTTGTTTTTCATCACTGAATATTTTGTGGTAATCCCTTCTGGCCTGCAAAGTTTGTAATGAGAAATCAGTTGACAGTCTTATGGGAACTCCCTTGTGGGTAACTAACTGCTTTTCTCTTGCTGCTTTTAAGATTCTTGCTTTGTTTTTAACCTTTGGCATTTTAATTATGATGTATCTTGGTGTGGGCTTCTTTGGGTTCATCTTGTTTGGGACTCTAGGCGCTTCCTGGGATTGTATGTCTGTTTCCTTCTCCAGGTTAGGGAACTTTTCTGTCATT